CAATGGTCTAGTGGTTGGGATTCTGACATGGTATCAGAGCGAAGGTCTCGGGTCCGAATCCCAGTGTGTGCATTTCGGGCATCCTAGTGCGGGGGGGTGTCAGAGGTCCACTGGTGATCCCCGATTGATCCTGGGGAAGGGTTACAGGCTCGTTGTCCTGGGGGGTTATGGGCGCACTGACCCGCTACTTAACAAGTCATTTTATCCTAATGGTCTAGTGGTTGGGATTCTGACAGGGCCCCCAAAAACACCGAAAGGGGCACCATGCGCAGGTATTCACAAAAAGAAACAAGTCTGCGAAAGGCTGGATGAATCGTTGGGGAGGGATTGGAAACACTAGGAGATATTGTGAGAACTGCACATGTTTGAAAACCATTTCGCAGGCGCATGCTGATTGGCCACGCTACTCTGAGACAAGCGCGTGCTGATTGGCCGCGATACTCTGAGCCAAGCGTGTCCTGATTGGCTGCGCTACTTCGAGACAAGCGCGTGTTGATTGGCCGCCTGGTAGTAGAGGCGTGCCGTGATTTTTTGTCCTCCTTACAAGTTTCTCGATATTAAAGATGGGTTCTTTTTTAGGGTATGCTTGCAAGTTCCACTCGATATTACAAAGATCTGGTGTACTTGTGGATAAATAAAGGGTATGACACGTCAGTATGAGCCCATCCATGACGCGAAGTTTTTTTATAGAGCACGTGTGTTGCAATCCCCCGATTAGCAATTATGAACAGTAGTAACCACATCGCCACTCAACTCGTCTATTCGCGAACCTATGTTCTAGCCCCAACCGTGCTATGTTGGCACAGCTGGCAAGCTTATCGGCTTGTGATCTGAAAAAAGGGGCTTGAAGTGGCCAAGTTTCAAGCACCAGATTCAGTTTGTGTGTCTCTTCCAACCTCTCGATTTCCCAAGCTTGTACATATGATGCCTGTTTGAGCCAGTCCCGGTTGCCTTGTGAAGGGGGCTTATAAGCTGTAACGTGCATTTCGCAAAAGTTTCGTTAATTCGCAGCTGGCTAAAAAGGGTTTGCAGGTGCTCATATAAAGGATCTTTAACCTTATCCGTTGACATTTTGACTTCAGTCTCTTCTATTTGACTTCAGTCTGTTCGTTACTATCGGTTCATAACCACGCGACGCACTTGTAACGTGGGTGCAACAGGCTGGGGAAAAAACATCGGGTGCAGCGTTTCCATCCGGTGTAGAGCAGATTCGCGTGCATGGGGTGGGCATCACCTGTACCTTGATCTCCTTGTGCTCCTGCTCAAATTAATCTCACAGCGACCCGCTTTGTAACTATCTGCCCCGCCCATTCCATAATTATTTTACGAAGCTTGCTTACTAACTCTACGCGCCACACGTTTCTTTTATTATACCAATCCGCCCCCTTATTAACATATTACTACAGCGAGTGACGGGCACGACAACGACGGCGAGCGACAGGCGCGACAACGACGGCGCGTGACAACGACGGCGAGTGACGAGCGTGACAACGGTGGCGAAGGACAACCAGCGGCGCGACGGGCGCGACAACGACGGCGAGCGACAGGCGCGACAACGATGGCGCGTGACAACGACGGCGAGCGACGAGCGTGACAATGGTGGCGAAGGACAACCAGCGGCACTCGACGGGCGCGACAACGACGGCGAGCCACCATGCTCGTGCCAGCGCGGCGCACAGCACGCGCTCACGCTCCCGCGCCATCGCTGCCGCCTGATACCTTCGACTCCTTGTGCTCCTGCTCGAGCTAGGGTCACTCCGAGCCACTTACTATCTCTACGCCCCGCCTCTTTCTCTTATGTTTTTAAGAAACCCGTGTGGCTGATGTGCAGAATCCTTGACTATCAAGTGGTTTGTGTTGTCTGTTTATCCTATGTGCAGAGTCATGGTGCTCATATATTGCACAAACGCTTAACCCACGAGTTAAGTCATCACGCCCAGTGTGAACTATTCTTATGGGACAATGAAGACTGAGGAGTGTCGACTGACGTATGCGTGGGTATTGTCGAATCGCTTCATACTTTCTTTTCCTCGTTGCCGAAAGGTTGCTTTTCACCCTGAACCAAGTGTTTCGTGTCACAATGGGTAGTTAACTAGTAGAAGGCATTAGGGTTTGCACTAGAGAGGAAAGTATCGAGATAGTTGTCAAGGCAAAAGGATGGTTTCACTATAGGCTCAAGGGTACAAATATGAAAGAAGAGAAGAAAGGTGCACCACCTAAGAAGCAAGATGACTACACTAAGTCTACATTGCAGGCAGTTATAAAGTAATGTATACAATTACATTCTGACACACCCCCTAACTGCCTGCAGTGAAGAACCATGTGCAGAAACACCCCCGGAAGGGGTACACCAAGCAGAGCGCAGCAGACGGAGAGGGCAAGTGAGGAGGAGGAGGGACTATGAGAGGAGAGGAGGTGGTGGGCGGCAGCTGAAGCTGCTGGCACACGGCGCAACTGGAGCAACTAGCACACGGGCAACTGGAGCAACTGGCACACTGGCAACTGGAGCAACTGGCACACGGGCAACTGGAGTAACTGACTCCGCGGCTAGACGAGCGGCAGGAGTAACTGACTCACGGGCGACTGGAGCAACGGGCTCACGGGCGACTGGAGCGACGGGCTCACGGGCGACTGGCGCAACGGTCTCACGGGCGACTGGAGCTGCTGACTTCACGGCGGCCACCCCCCTTCAACCTCCCCCATTGTCCCAAAACTCCCGTTCACACCCCTCGACATCCCTAGCGCCACGACCTCGTCTCCCCCACACCCTCCCCCCCTTCAGCGGTAGCTGCAGCAGTGGGAGAGAGAGGAGGAGGGGCGGCAGCAGATCACTCACACCCGCCACCCCCATACCCTCCCCCCCACTGCTGCACGCGCAGCAGGGGGATGGAGGAGAAGGGGGGGGCGGGGTAGGAGCTGCGCGGGCTACAGCAGGGGCAGTGCAGGCGCGCGCACAGCAGGGCAGGTGCGCGCTGGCCTGGCGCAGGCTGTACGGGCCGCGCGCGGCCCTGGCGCAGGCTGTACAGGCCGCGCGCGGCCCTGGCACGGGCTGCACAGGCAGCGCGTGGGTCGTACGGGCCGCGCGCGGCAGGGCAGAAGCCGTCGCGCGAAATCGCCGCACGCCCGAGGCGCGCGACGAGCAGAAAATCGACGCGCGCCCGGGGCGCGCGGCGGGCAGAAAACTGACGCGCGCCCCGGGAGTGCGACGGGCAGCAGAGAGGCCCATGAGCGGAAGCGTGGTGGTGGGCCCTATGAGACAGGTCCTAGGAGAAACCTCTCTCTGATAGCATGTCACAATAGGTAGTTAACTAGTAGAAGGCATTAGGGTTTGCACTAGAGAGGAAAGTATCGAGATAGTTGTCAAGGCAAAAGGATGGTTTCACTATAGGCTCAAGGGTACAAATATGAAAGAAGAGAAGAAAGGTGCACCACCTAACAAGCAAGATGACTACACTAAGTCTACATTGCAGGCAGTTATAAAGTAATGTATACAATTACATTCTGACATTTCGTTTGTGTTTTGTATGTGTGTCAGCAATGCGCAGCTTGTGGTCTTGCTACTAAGTTGAGTACGTTATTGGCTTTTTAGGGGTAGCTGGTTAGGCTAAAATGTTTGATTGAAGCACACATGTCAATATCATAAATTCTATGTTAATGCTGCGTTGTAAACATGTGCACCCAAAAAATCAACCCAAAAATAGTGAGTAGTTGGAAACTTTATAACTGGGAATGGCGTGATGAAATTCTGTAATATGAATTTTGTATAAGTAGCTACATGCTGTAAACAATTTATAGGTGTAGTTGCTTTGAATACTGTACACTATCTCGATTAATAACGTCAGCAATTTGTTTACAGTTCCTTCTGGTTTAAAGCCAGCAGCTAAACTAGTGACCCCCCCCTTCTAGTTGGGTCCACTTGAAAACAAAAGTTTTTTTGGAACACTTCGGACAGTTGGGGATAGGAGATGAATTTACGACGGGACACACGACGGGATAGGAGATGAAGTGGGCGACGGAAGAGAGGGGAAATTGCAAGGGCGACGGGATGGAGAGCGCGAATGCGACGGGAAGGAGAGCGCGAAGGCGACGGGAGGGAGAGCGCGAAGGCGAGGGGGGAGAGAGCGCGAAGGCGACGGGAGGGAGAGCGCGCAGGCGACGGGAGGGAAAGCGCGCAGACGACGGGAGGGAGAGCGCGAAGGCGACGGGAAAAGTGATGGGAGGGGAGAGAGGAAGGGCGCGGGGAGGCTGTTTCAGAGAGAGAGCGTAGGCGACGAGGTGTGTGATGGGAGGGGATAGAAGAAAGGCGTTGGGAGGAGGGCATTTCGGGGAGAGAGCTATAGCCGACGAGGTGAGCGACAGGAAGGGAGGAGGGAGAGCGAGGGTGACGGGGAGGGAGGGAAGAAAGAGAGGCCGACGGGGGGGGGGAAGGAGAGAGACCCGCGAAGGTGATGGGAGGGGAGCGGACAGCGGACGAAGGACTGGAGGGTAGGGGAGATGGCGAAGGCGCGAGACAGGAAACTAGCCCCTGCGGAAAGGTAACGATAGCCTGCGGAGGGAAAAATATTACGATACTAAGCTACGTAACAGTCTTACGCATCTCCGCAGGGTCGAAAGTTACTTACCTTGGCCACAAACACCTATTGTTGTCAGCTAAAATATGTTAGGAATAAAACTAGTGACTTCGGGATGGAGAGCAGCTAGTCACGGAACCCAGTTCCAGCTTGAAACCAACGTTGGCCTGGCGATGGAAACCATTGTTGGGCAACAGTCGTGCAGGTGTAGCACGTAGACATGCGACGGAGGAGATCCGCATGGAAATGTGTTTTGGCGGGAACAAGAAGCATCAAGATTGGCGAAAGCCAATCACATTTGTTCACTTATTGAACGGTGACTTTCCTTCAACGTCTTTCTCATCCCATTTCGTCCGCGTCCACCTTTGCTCTGCCAACACGGCCAACCTCTGCCTCAATTCTTGTCCCACCCGCCTTCCCTCACTCCAGAACTACCCCAGACTGAACACTGCGAGATGCTGCAAGAAAGGGCTGTGCACAGGTGGGTGATTGCACAGGTGGGTGATTGCACAGGTGGGTGATTGCACAGGTGGGTGATTGCACAGGTGGGTGATTGCACAGGTGGGCGGGTGATTGCACAGGTGGGTGATTGCACAGGTGGGTGATTGTACAGGTGGGTGATTGTACAGGTGGGTGATTGTACAGGTGGGTGATTGTACAGGTGGTGGATTGTACAGGTGGGTGATTGCACAGGTGGGTGATTGTACATGTGGGTGATTGTACAGGTGGGTGATTGTACAGGTGGGTGATTGCACAGGTGGGTGATTGTACAGGTGGGTGATTGTACAGGTGGGTGATTGTACAGGTGGGTGACTGCACAGGTGGGTGACTGCACAGGTGGGTGATTGTACAGGTGGGTGATTGTACAGGTGGGTAATTGTACAGGTGGGTGATTGTACAGGTGGGTGATTGTACAGGTGGGTGACCGCACAGGTGGGTGATTGTACAGGTGGGTGATTGTACAGGTGGGTGACCGCACAGGTGGGTGATTGTACAGGTGGGTGATTGTACAGGTGGGTAACGTTTTTGCTAACCCTCAAGCCTCGGGTGCAGGTAGCAAGCCCACAAGCCCACGTTTCGTCCCGCACCCGCACACGACCTTTCCCGCACCCACGCATGACCCTTCCCGCACCCACGCATGACCCTTCCCGCACCCACGCATGACCCTTCCCGCACCCACGCATGACCCTTCCCGCACCCTCGCAGAACCACTCCATCAGTCTCTCCTTTGCTCTTCATTCACACTACCTGTCCGTTTGAATCCCTTCCCCTGCATACTGCTATCTCCGCATTGCATTGCATCCCCTCGCATCACATTCTCTCTCGTCACACCTCACCTCACCTCACCGCACCGCACCGCACCGCTCCTCACCTCCCCTTCCCATGCAGACTGCTATCTCCGCATCGCGTCCCGTCGTCTCTGCGCTTTCCGGTAAGCCCACTGTCTGCCTTGCCTCACATACCTTCTCTCCTTCCACTACCTCACTGCACCCCACTTCACCGCACCTCACCGCACCTCACCCCACCTCACTGCACTTCACCGCACATCACCTCACCGCACCCGACTTGATCCACTGTGTAGTGCGTTTTCCAAGTGCGTCTACGCTGTCTTGTTTCCTCTGACCTCACGACTTCTTCACTGAATGATCTTACCACTCAAGCTCTCTCCCAGCTCTCTCCCAGCCCTCGCCCAGCCCTGTCGCACAGCCTTGTCTCTCAGCCCTGTCTCACTCGTTGCCCCTCCTCTCAACCCTCGTCTATGCCCCTTCTGCAACGCGGAGGCATTCTCTGTGGACCACCAAGGCCCGCCCTGCCACCCACGCACACCCGCAGAAATTCTCGCCGATCTGCTGGTGCGCATGCGCCCCTGCTGCTGCTCTTTCTACTCCTCTTGCTGCTGCTTGTAGTGCTGCCCTCGCTGCTCTTGGTCCTCCTGTTCACTTTGGCCTGTCAGCTGCTCTTCCTGGTGGCTCTTGCTGTTCCCTTTCCTGTGATAAGTCCTGTGTTCTGATCCGAGGTGACTGGAGAGGTGCCTCGAACGCATCAAACTCACTCTCCCACTCTCCCACTCTCCCACTTTCCCAATTTCCCGCTTCCCCACGTTCCCATTTCTCCCCCGCCCCCCCCTCCTTCCCTCCCCCTCCGCATGGTCAGGAAAAGCAGAGGGCAGTGAAAGCAATTGTTTGAGGTGCCACAAACCCACCGTTCCCATCGCTCCTCTCCCTGCCCATCCCCATCCCCATCCCCTCCCTCTGCCTCCCCATCCCCATCCCCTCCAGAGACGGGTCTGGCAGTTGTCATTTCGCTCATGGGATACGAGCTTCTGCCAGCACGATGCAGGCGCAAGGTTGGCAGTGGTGGTGAGGGCGGTGGTGGCAGTGGTGGTAGCGGCGGTGTTTCTGCTGCTGCTGGTTCTGCTCGTGCTGTTTGAGAGGAGTCGATTTTTGAGTCAGTCGATTTTTGAGTCGACTCAAAAATCGACTCATCTCACGCGGGTTGGCAGTGCTGGTGAGGGCAGTGGTGGCAGTGGTGGCAGTGGTGCCAGTGGTGGCAGTGGTGGCAGTGGTGGCAGTGGTGGCAGTGGTGGCAGTGGTGGCAGTGGTGGCAGTGGTGGCAGTGGTGGCAGTGGTGCCAGTGGTGCCAGTGGTGCCAGTGGTGCCAGTGGTGGCAGTGGTGGCAGTGGTGGCAGTGGTGGCAGTGGTGGCAGTGGTGGTAGCTGCGGTGTTTCTGCTGCTGCTGGTTCTACTCGTGCTGTTCACATCAATGTTTCCCCCCCGTTCAGTCCGGCTCTGAACCCTCAAGGCACGACCTTCGAAAGGTGAAGCGGAGGAGAGGGGGGCAGGCAGGCATTTTCCCTTCCCATCACCATCTCGCCTCCTGTGTGTGATCGCTCCTCTGCCAGGTACTGTTGACACCGAGGATATTTTCTTAGTATTCTCAAAGAATTCCTGCAACGTTTAAGAGGCAGGCATTTCCCTTTCCCATCTCCGTCTCGGCTTGTGTGGGTGTGCGATCGCTCCACTGCCAGCTATCGAGGTTTGAGACGTCTCAAAAGGCGGAGGAGAACAGGGCAGGCATTTCTATCACCGTCTCGGCTCATGCGTATGATCACTGTGTGTGATCGCTTCGCTGCCAGCTATCGCTGACCCTGATTATCGTTTGACATCTCCAGCTGGCAGCAGATTCCTACGGTAATCTGTTGCCAGTGTGGTTTGTGCGTGAACCGAGACAGTGCGTGATTGCTCACCTCCCCTGGCAGTGTGGTTTGTGCGCTCTCAAGTCACCTCCGAATCGAAGGGGACATACAGTAGATCACGGTACATTGGATTGAGTTGGAGCTAGTCCAGTCCTCCTGACTCCTGAGTCACCTCCGGCATAGGCCACATTGGTTGCTCTTGCGTGGCATGTAAGGGTTTCCATTTCACCAAGAGTAATTCGCCAACACTGGCTTCATCAAACTCTCTCGCGTCAGTTCATCCTCGCCGTAGGCGATTCCGCCATTCTGTAACACTTTTGTCAAAGGCGTACAACAATTGCATGTATTGTAATATATGTATACAATCTATAGCAGATCACTTTATGTAATATACAACAGGAAATGTGGTCATGTCATTCCTTGGTCAATAAGATTCAAAGGGGATGTATGTAGAGCTGCCTCACTCGTAAGTCAAGTTCCGTGTGCATAAGGGCGTGTTCCTACGGCCTCTTATCAGGCGAACCTCTTGTCAGATTCGCGTCGCACCGCACTGAAACGCGCATAATAAAATTCGATCGCGTTGAATCGCATTGAACCGCACAAGTCTGACAAGAGGTCACCTGATAAGGGGCTGTAGGAACACGCCCTAACTCGACGTCACGCCACCTCACGCCACGCCATGCCATGCGCCATGCCACGCCATGCCACGCCATGCCATGCCATGCCACCCGGCTGGTTCTAAGAGGGAATGCAGAGGGGCATGCTATGCCACATGGTGAAGCTGCAGCATTGGGACTAAGAGGGGATGCAGAGGGGCATGCTGAAGAGGCTGTGAGCGCTCTAGGAGGGAATGCAGAGAGGCATGCCGGCGAAGAGGCTCTGGGAGTCCGAAGAGGGGATGTTATACCATTGGCTTTAAGAAGGGATGCAGCAGGACATGGTACGCCATGCCACGCCACTGGTGGTAAGAGGGAATGCAGAGGGGCATGCCGGCGGAGAGGCTGTGAGTGCTCTAAGAAGGGATGCAGAGGGGCATGCCGTGCCACACAGTGATGCCGTTGATGCTAAGAGGGGATGCAGAGGGGCATGCCGTGCCACACAGTGATGCCGTTGATGCTAAGAGGGGATGCAGAGGGGCATGCCGGCGAAGAGGCTCTGGGAGCGGCACATCCAGCCGCGGTTGAGCTGGCCCACGAGCGGCGGCTGGCGCTGGAACTGCACCACCACCAGCGACGCACAGCTGTCCCCCGCCCCCACCGTGTACCGCCGGTTCGCCACCGTCTTTGACCGCGCCTTACCGCATGCCACCGCTCCCAACGGCGTGCCGGCGATGCAGATCTGGGGTGTGGGGATGGGTGGGGGAGGAGGGGAGGGAGGAGTGAGCAAGAATGAGAGATTTAAGCAATTTGTGACATGCCTCAAAAGGCAAGCTTTGCATATGGCGTAGGCACTAATTGATTTCTAGCACAAACCTCCATAGCGTTACCCCTCATAGGTACCTTGGAGGCGGTGAGCGAGCCGAGGGTGCCGCAGTTCATGCCAAGGTTGAGGCAATAGAGGTCGAACCACGACATGCCCCATACCCCCCCATACCCCCCCATACCCCCTCTATTCGCACTCCAAGTGCCACGCCCCCCCTAGCATCACCTCCCCATCATGTTGGTCCCTCGATATGTTGGTGGGGCACTGAGATTGTCCCCGGTTGAGTGAGGGAGGGCTACAGGCGCGGCCTGGGGGGTTATGAGTGTGTCACCCACCATACAAACATGCCCTTTTAACCTAGTCGGTAGCAGGCTGTACCAACATTGGTATCAGAGCCAAAGGTCTTGGGCTCGATCCCAGTGTGCGCCATATGAGCACAGTGCCCTAACGAGCCGTAAATGAGAGGAGAATGACCCCAGTAGAAGGGAGATTGTTGGTGAGGCACTAAGATCGTTCCTTAGTTGAGTTCGTAAGGGCTCCATATGTGTGCTAGAAGGTTTATGGTTGTGCTACCCACCAAACAAACAAGCCCTTTTAACCCAAACGGTAGCAGGCTGAGCCAACACCGAGGCGGTGAGTGCTGTGAGCGTGTGGCAGTTGATGCTGGGGTTGAGGCGGTAGAGGTCGAGCCAGGAGAGGTCGAGCCAGGAGAGGTCGAGCCAGGAGAGGTCGAGCCAGGAGAGGTCGATCCAGGAGAGGTCGAGCCAGGAGAGGTCGAGCCAGGAGAGGTCGAGCCAGGAGAGGTCGAGCCAGGAGAGGCCGAGCCAGGAGAGGTCGAGCCAGGAGAGGTCGAGCCAGGAGAGGTCGAGCCAGGAGAGGCCGAGCCAGGAGAGGCCGAGCCAGGAGAGGTCGAGCCAGGAGAGGTCGAGCCAGGAGAGGTCGAGCCAGGAGAGGTCGAGCCAGGAGAGGTCGAGCCAGGAGAGGTCGAGCCAGGAGAGGCCGTACCAATTGAATCACACCCCTCACAGCGCTACCCCTCCTATCTAGCGCCAACTCCCCGCATAGGTACCTCGGAGGCGGTGAGTGCTGTGAGCGTGTCGCAGTTGATGCCGGGGTTGAAGCGGTAGAGGTCGAGCCAGGAGATTCGGTACCAATCCACAGCGTTGGCACACGTGACCCACTCGTTGACCGGCAGGTAGCTCGTGCACAGGTTGTAGTCCGCTGCTCCTGACACGGCATCGCCCACCTGGATGCAGATCTGAGGTGGGGGAGAGAGGGGAGGAGAGGAAGGGTTGGGAAGCAAGAGAGGAGAGGGGAGAAGGTAGTTCACTTGCTGGTGGCCACATAGCTCGTGCACAGGTTGTAGTCGCTGCTCCTGATACGGCTGTCAAGGCTGTGGTCGATGCCAATGCAATCTAAGCTCCGCCGCCAACCCACTCACAAGCCGAATCACTCCCCACCACTCTCTCCACCTGCAACACCATTAGAACCACTCTGCACCGCTTGCCTCACCTGCTGGTTGGGCACGAGGCTTGAGCAATCGAGGCTGGGGTTGATGGTCGCGACGTCTATGCCAAAGCGATTATTGATGAGGTCACAACTCCTTGCTGCTGCGTCCGCCTGGGGTGAATGAGGAAGGGGATGAGCAGGGAGGGGGAGGAGGGAAAGAGTGAAGTAAGGGTTGATGGCTGCATGCGTGCAGATAGAGGAGGGGTTGAACGGGGTTAGAAGGGGCAGAGAAGGGGGAATGGGGAAGGGGATGAGAAGGGAGGGGGAAGAGAGCGCGAGAGAAGTGGGCTTTGATGGCTGCATGCGTGCAGATAGAGGAGGGGGTGGACGGGGTTATAAGGGGCAGAGAGTGGTAGAGGGGCGAGCGACTTTTGAGTCAACTCAAAAGTGGGCGTTGATGGCTGCGTGCGTGCAGATAGAGGAGGGGGTGGACGGGGGTGCATGGGGTTAGAGGGGCGGTAGGGTGAAGAGAGTGGGTGGGAGGGGGAGAGTGACAGTGTAGCTGCGTGACATGTAACGGATGTGAGCGACTTGTAATGCACCTGCGGGACATATTCACGCAACTAGGCAACATGCAACGCACCTGGATGACATAGTAGCACACATGTAACGCACCTGGATGACATAGTAGCACACATGTAACGCACCTGGATGACATAGTAGCACACATGTAACGCACCTGGATGACATAGTAGCACACATGTAACGCACCTGCATGACATAGTAGCACACATGTAACGCACCTGCATGACATAGTAGCACACATGTAACGCACCTGGATGACATAGTAGCACACATGTAACGCACCTGCATGACATAGTAGCACACATGTAACGCACCTGGATGACATAGTAGCACACATGTAACGCACCTGGATGACATAGTAGCACACATGTAACGCACCTGCATGACATAGTAGCACACATGTAACGCACCTGGATGACAGTAGCACACATGTAACGCACCTGGATGACATAGTAGCACACATGTAACGCACCTGCATGACATAGTAGCACACATGTAACGCACCTGGGTGACATGCAACGCACCTGGGTGACAGTGTAGCGCACGCGGCACACTTGAGCCGAGGAGGGGATGGAGATGTTGAGCACCTGACCCGCCTTGAGATTGTCACAGTCCACTCCCTGGGGGATGAAGGGGGGGTGGGTGTGAAGGCGGGTAATGATGAGAAAGGAAAGCAGTGACGCAAGGGATGGGGTTGTTGATGGAGATGTTGAGCACCTGACCAGCCTTGAGATTGTCACAGTCCACTCCCTCCCTGGTGGATATTGGGGTGATGGTTTCATCGTTGGACAGTAGGGCATAGGGATGTTGAGGAGCAGGAGTTGAGATGGTGAATTGATGGGGCTCATTGCGCTCACCTCATTCTGCAGCAGGAATTGCTCTTATCAGTGTGCTCACTCTTATCACTCTGATCACTCTTATCACTCTCATCGCTCTGCATTGCTCTCACATCGTTCTGCTGCAGGAAGTGCTCTTATCACTCCTCATCGCTCTCATCACTCCTCATCACTCCTCATCACTCCTCATCACTCCTCATCGCTCTCATCACTCCTCATCACTCCTCATCACTCCTCATCACTCCTCATCACTCCTCATCGCTCACATCACTCCTCATCACTCCTCATCGCTCACATCACTCCTCATCACTCCTCTCTCATCACTCCTCATCACTCCTCATCACTCTTACCTCATTCTGTGCGAGGAACTGCTCCTGGGTGAGGCCGATGAAGCCGTAGATGGCGCCACACGTCTCCCCCCCCTGCACTGTGTACGTGCCCTGCACCGCTGCTGCGCTGCTCGTTGACATCTCTGCCATGCCATGTCATGCATGGTGGTGAGTGCACTCAAACAGTTTTTTTAATTAGTAAAAAAAAAAAAAAAAAAAAGACAGCTAAAATTTAGAGGAAAAAGGAAAAGAAAAGTAGGGGAAGAAAGAAAAGAAAGAAAGAAAGAAAGAAAGAAAGAAAGAAAAACGTATTCCGTGTCTTCTTTATTTGCCCCTACCCTCCCTCATTGCTGAATCACGGCCCTTTTTTGAAAGCCCTCCTTCCCCCCAGCCTCACCAGGCACGCAGGTGGTCTGGCCGGAGGCGAGCACGCTAGTTTTGTAGTTGGGCGGGCAGAGGCACGAGTAGCCGCCGTCACCGCTGTTGATGCACTGCCCCACGACGCAGGGGTTGGTGGGTAGCACACTGCACACGTCGACTGTGTGGGGGGGTGTTAACATCAAACGAGATGGGGGGATGAGTGGTTGCGTGTATGGGGCAACAGCATCCCACTGTCACATGTCCCTTCTCTTCTCCAACGCAATGATATGAGGAGCAAATTGACCCCAGGCGCCAACTCACCCCACGAGCCAAAGCATCTCATGCGGTGCAACTCATTGGTGGTGCCGTCACGGTTGGCAGCAGCCACGATTGAATCAGAGCCCAAGGGCCAAAGCACCTTCAAAGGGGCAACTCACTGACGGTGCACGTGGCGGTGCCGTCGCGTGGGGCAGAGCACTCGCACGTGTACTTGGTGGTGTCCCTCTCGTCCCCACAATACCCCAAGAGCCCAAGGGGGGTGAGTGAGACCACCCAACCCGCAACTCACTGACGGTGCACGTAGCGGTGCCGTCACGGTTGACAGCAGCCACGAGTGGGGCGGGGCACTCGCACGTGTACTTGGTGGTGTCCCTCTCGTTGACCATACACCTGCCGCCCCCACACGGTGATGCGCTGCAGGGATTGGTGCTCTGGGCTGCGAGGTGGTTCGGGCGGGGAGAGTCAATGGGAGGAGGGAGGAAGAGGGAGGAAGAGGGAGGAACAGGGAGGAAGAGGGAGGAACAGGGAGGAACAGGGAGGAACAGGGAGGAACAGGGAGGGACAGGGAGGTACAGGGAGGAACAGGGAGGTACAGGGAGGAACAGGGAGGAACAGGGAGGAACAGGGAGGTACAGGGAGGTACAGGGAGGTACAGGGAGGAACAGGGAGGTACAGGGAGGAACAGGGAGGTACAGGGAAGTACAGGGAGGTACAGGGAGGTACAGGGAGGTACAGGGAGGTACAGGGAGGTACAGGGAGGTACAGGGAGGTACAGGGAGGTACAGGGAGGAACAGGGAGGTACAGGGAGGAACAGGGAGGTACAGGGAGGGACAGGGAGGTACAGGGAGGAACAGGGAGGAACAGGGAGGAACAGGGAGGAACAGGGAGGAACAGGGAGGAACAGGGAGGAACAGGGAGGAACAGGGAGGAACAGGGAGGAACAGGGAGGAACAGGGAGGAACAGGGAGGAACAGGGAGGAACAGGGAGGAACAGCGTGATGATTCTTGTCGACCTCACGCCCCCACAGGGTGACTTCTGAGACGTCTCAAAAGTCGTCTACAGCGTGACGCGTCTTGTCGACCTCACGCCCCCACAGGGTGACTTCTGAGACGTCTCAAAAGTCATCTACAGCGTGACGCGTCTTGTCGACCTCACGCCCCCACAGGGTGATGCGCTGCAGGAATTGGTGCTGTCGACTGCATGGTAGATTGGGTAGGGAGGGAGGAAAAAAGGAAAGACAGGACTTTTCAAGAAGGGTGACGTTTCTTGCCAATCAAGCAAGTTCAGTTCAGCCCCCTACGGAGCGGCGTGTTGCAGGGATCGGTGCTCTTGTTGCAGGGATCGGTGCTCTTGTTGCAGGGATCGGTGCTCTTGTTGCAGGGATCGGTGCTCTTGTTGCAGGGATCGGTGCTCTTGTTGCAGGGATCGGTGCTCTTGTTGCAGGGATCGGTGCTCTTGTTGCAGGGATCGGTGCTCTTGTTGCAGGGATCGGTGCTCTTGTTGCAGGGATCGGTGCTCTTGTTGCAGGGATCGGTGCTCTTGTTGCAGGGATCGGTGCTCTTGTTGCAGGGATCGGTGCTCTTGTTGCAGGGATCGGTGCTCTTGTTGCAGGGATCGGTGCTCTTGTTGCAGGGATCGGTGCTCTTGTTGCAGGGATCGGTGCTCTTGTTGCAGGGATCGGTGCTCTTGTTGCAGGGATCGGTGCTCTTGTTGCAGGGATCGGTGCTCTTGTTGCAGGGATCGGTGCTCTTGTTGCAGGGATCGGTGCTCTTGTTGCAGGGATCGGTGCTCTTGTTGCAGGGATCGGTGCTCTTGTTGCAGGGATCGGTGCTCTTGTGGCAAGGATCGGTGCTCTTGTTGCAGGGATCGGTGCTCTTGTTGCAGGGATCGGTGCTCTTGTTGCAGGGATCGGTGCTCTGGGGGCTGCCCAGGTGGTCTGTTTTAACATTGCTAGTGTGGAGATGTAGAGTATTTTAACATTGCTAGTGTGGAGATGTAGAGTATTTTAACATTGCTAGTGTGGAGATGTAGAGTATTTTAACATTGCTAGTGTGGAGATGTGGAGTATTTTAACATTGCTAGTGTGGAGATGTAGAGTAATTTTGAGAATTCTCAGAAATACTCTACATCGCTGGGGGCTGCCGAGGTGGTATGTTTTAACATTGCTAGTGTGGCACTTCGGGTTGTTGGGGATTCTTCTAGTGCACTTACACTGCATCACCTTCAGTTCACCTGCATGCCAGTGGTAAGGGGCGGAGAGTGAAACCCCTCACCTGCCACAACAGGGTAGAGCCCTCGCTCACCTGTTCCACTGGTTAACCGCTCACCTGTTCCACTGGTTAACCGCTCACCTGTTCCACTGGTTAACCGCTCACCTGTTCCACTGGTTAACCGCTCACCTGTTCCACTGGTTAACCGCTCACCTGTTCCACTGGTTAACCGCTCACCTGTTCCACTGGTTAACCTCTCACCTGTTCCACTGGTTAACCGCTCACCTGTTCCACTGGTTAACCGCTCACCTGTTCCACTGGTTAACCGCTCACCTGTTCCACTGGTTAACCGCTCACCTGTTCCACTGGTTAACCGCTCACCTGTTCCACTGGTTAACCTCTCACCTGTTCCACTGGTTAACCTCTCACCTCTCACAACGGGGTAGAGCCCGCGATTGACCAGCATGCCGCACGTGCCAAACGGCCCATTCTCCATGCGAATCCGCATGTACCCGCCCTCGCCCCACTGCGGCCCCCAGCTGTTTTTCAAAATGAAGTAGTTGTTCCAGCTCCCCGGGGAGTCATAGTTATACCCCACGGCCAGCATCACGTGGTCTAGAAGGCCTGTGTTGTTGGTGGCTGTAGCCGTGGCCATGGCCCGTCCGAGACTGCCCCAGCTATCCGAGACAGTTCCCAGCGGGTTGTAGCAGCCCCAGCCCTGGTATATGCCTTCCTGTGAGGGGAGGAAAGAGGGGAGGGAAGACGGGAAGGAAGAGGGTAGGGAGGGAAGAGGGGAGGGAAGACGGGAAGGAAGAGGAGCCGTGTTGTTCCCCATAGAGACACCCCACGGCCAGCATCACGTGGTCCAGCAGCCCCGTGTTGTTGGTGGCTGTAGCGGTCGCCATGGCCCGTCCGCCCCCGCTACCCGAGACGGTTCCCACAGGGTTGTAGCAGCCCCAGCCCTGGTCTATACCTTCCTGTGAGGGTGAGAGGGTCGGAGAGTGGGTGGGAGGGTGGGTGGGTGTGTCAGGAGAGACAAGGAAGGTTCCAGCCATCCAAGACGGTTCCCAGCGGGTTGTAGCAGCCCCAGCCCTGGTCTATACCTTCCTGTGAGGGTGAGAGGGTCGGAGAGTGGGTGGGAAGGTGGGTGGGTGTGTCGGGAGAGACAAGGAAGGTTCCAGCCATCCAAGACTGTTCCCAGCGGGTTGTAGCAGCCCCAGCCCTGGTATATGCCGCCCTGTGATGGGAGGGCGGGTGGGAGGGAGGGAGGGAGGGAGGGAGGGAGGGAGGGAGGGAGGGAGGGAGGGAGGGAGGGAGGGAGGGAGGGAGGGAGGAGGGAGGGAGGGAGGGAGGGAGGGAAGATCTTGGGACATTCTTCCAGTGAGTGAGATTATAGCACGAGATTATAGCAGCCTCAGCCCTGGTATATGCCGCCCTGTGAGGGGTGAGAGGGCGGGAGGGAGGGAGGGTGGGAGGGAGGGTGGTAGGGAGGGAGGCAAATACCAGGGCTGGGGCATATAGCAGCAGCAGCAGCAGCGGAACCTCCCAAACCCACCGCGTAGTCGATAAAGTCTTGGGCAGAGGCGCGGATGGTGACGACGCTGACGCTGATGTGGGCATGCAGAGTCTTTGTCAGCAGCTGAGCACTCACCACGTATGGTGCGATAAAGTCTTGGGAGGAGGCGCGGATGGTGACGATGACGGGCTGCTTCACCCTATAACGGGCTGCTTCACCTTTTAACGGGTGATTCTATCAGCATCAGCAGCAGCGTCAACTCACCGCATAGTCAATAAAGTCTTGGGAGGAGGCGCGGATGGTGACGATGACGGGCTGCTTCACCCTATAACGGGCTGCTTCACCTTTTAACGGGTGATTCTATCAGCATCAGCAGCAGCGTCAACTCACCGTGTAGTCGATAAAGTCTTGGGAGGAGGCGCGGATGGTGACGATGACGGGCTGCTTCTGCAGCGCGAGAATGAGCCCCAGCGGCCCCGGCAGTGGCACCTGCTCGTACATCGAGATGCTCCACTTCTCCTGAGAGCGGTGGAGAGGGGTGCAGAGGAGGGTAAGGAAGAGCGAGCTTCAGACAAGCACTGACCATGCGGCCCCGGCAGCGGCACCTGCTCGTACATGGAAAAGTTCCACATGCTCTGCGAGCAGAGGGGGAGTAAGAGTGGGGGGGGGGGGGGGGGGAGGGGGAGGGAGGACACATGGGTTAGGAAGAGAGAGCATCAGGCAAGAATTGACCACGAGGTCAGCGAGGTGACTCAGGGTAGAGAGGTGCCTTGTGACTCGACTCAGGAGGAAGCTCACCATCGTTTTGTTCGCGCTGCACTTGCCGGTGGCCCCCGTATACGCGTAGTCTTGCTCATACTGCAGCCCGTTCTTCGCCGCGTACTGCAGCGCTGCCTCAGGGTAACCCCCCCGGCAGGAGGCAGCAGAGCCAGTGCAGTCCACGAGCTGCTGCACGGACAGCGGCTGCCCCTCGGGGTACGTGTCTGTCACGGCACCATACGCGCCCTGAATCGCCCGAGCTACTGCGTACGCCCAGCAGGAGCCTGGAGGGGAAGGGGGACGAGGGGGAACGAGGGTGCAGTGCGGTAAAGTGCGGTGAAGTGCGGTGCAGGGCAGCAGAGCCAGCGGACAGCGGCTGCCCCTCGGGGTACGTGTCTGTCACGGCACCATACGCGCCCTGAATCGCCCGAGCTACTGCGTACGCCCAGCAGGAGCCTGGAGGGGAAGGGGGACGAGGGGGAACGAGGGTGCAGTGCGGTAAAGTGCCGTGAAGTGCGGTGCAGGGCAGCAGAGCCAGCGGACAGCGGCTGCCCCTCGGGGTACGTGTCTGTCACGGCACCATACGCGCCCTGAATCGCCCTTGCTACCGCGTACGCCCAGCAGGAGCCTGTGAGGGGGAGGGGGACGAGGGGGAACGGAGGGGAGGGAGGCGAGGATGCTGTGTCTTGTGGGTCACGGAAGCAGCAGTGCTGGCGCGGTGCAGTTCGGTGAAGTGCGGTGAAGTGCGGTGCAGCGCAGACGAGCCAGTGCAGTCCACACAGTTGCCCTGGTCGAAGTTGTCGTCAGGCAAGAGCAGCGGGCGGTGGTCCGCGCTGGGAGGGAATTCCAGCCAACCTGGTCAACACCAGTCCTAGCAAAGGTGAACAGCAGTCAATAGCAGTCAACGCGGGTCAACGGGGTCACGCACCGCAGTTGCCCTGGTCGAAGTTGTCGTCAGGCAAGAGCAGCGGGCGGTGGTCCGCGCTGGGTGGGAAGGTCCACGTGAGCTTCTGGGAAGTTTGGTCGAGCGTGAGACCCACGGTGAGGTAGCGCGAGACGGTGTTGAGATTTGGCAGCTTGGTGGGATTGAGGTCCTTGGTCGTGGGGGGGGTGTAGCCCAGACTTTTGTCTGGTGGGGGGGTTGGGGGCCAGGGGCAGGAAGGGGAGGGGAGCAAGGAGAGAAGCGGGGTTTGTGTGAGCACACACGATAGCAGCAGCGGTTTAGGCTGCAGGTGAGCTTCTGCGAGGCGGGGTCGAGCGTGCGACCCACGGTGAGGTAGCGCGAGACGGTGTTGAGATTGGGCAGCTTGGCGAGATCCCTGCTGGGGGGGGGGATGTAGCCCAGGCTGCGTTCTGGCGGGGGGGAAGGGGAGTGGCAGGGAGGGGAGGGCAAGGGGGAGAAAAGGGAGGAGAGAAAAGAGAGGGGAGGGAAGGGAGGGGAGCAGAAGGAGCCGGGAGAGGGAGGAGGAGCATGTGAGAAGGAGGAATGAGCTGAGCACATTCTCCGGAAATTGGCAGAGCACCCACGGCAGCAGCAGCAACGCCCCACCCCCCACGCTAGCTTCCGCCCCCTTTCCTTCCCAAGGCAGCTTAACAGCGGGCGGTGGGTGGAATGACACGCTCACGATCCCCGCCGCGCAACCCATGCCCTGTACCCCATTCCACCGCACTCCAGCCCTAGTTACGCCGCCGCGCGACTCTCACCAACAGCAGTGGCGTTCCCGCGTGCGCTGTTCCCCTTGCTTATTCCGCGCCCCTTCCCTCCGCCTCCCCCCGCCGCCCGAATCAGCTTCTGCACCGCCTGCACGCGCCGCTTCACCTGCGCGACCCACTTTCGCGCCGCCGCCGCGAACGCATCTTTAGTTAAGTACGACGCGCGTTCGGGGGGCTTGTCGACGCCCGTCAGGTCCGCGGCGCCCAACAGCGGCGCGAGGGATTTAATCTCCTGCTTCGTTTTCGCGTCCACCGCCAGCGCCGCGAGGTCCGATGCCGCCGCGCCAGCTGTCGCGTCGTCAGAGGTCGCGGAGCCGCCGGCGGTGGTCGCGGAGCCGGCGGAGTCCGCGTTTGTCGTTGTGCCGAGTGCGTCTTTGATGAGTAGGGGGATGCGGGTGGGGGGAGGTTCCGGGGAGGGGAAGGAAGGAGAAAACGGGGGAGGGAGGAAGGAGGGGAGGAGGAGGTGGTAAGACGCAGGCGGCATGCATCCCAAAAAAGTTTGGGCGAAACCCCCCCCCCCTTCCCCCCCCAGGTTACCCACAGCTTACCAGTGATCGGGCGCGTTACTCAGGGTCCGCGATGCCGCTGGTCCACTGCGGACCAGGCGGTCCAGTCCGCGGACCAGGGTGGACCAGCTGTGAGCCAGCTCGAGGACCAGGCAAGAACAGTATAGGGTTACCAGGTAACACCGTTTGGTCCGCTCTGGCCCGAGCCAATCTGCTGGTCTGCCACGCAAAATTGCAGGGGCTGATTTGGTCCGCCAGACCAGTCCGCGAGATTCGTGTGGGACCTGGTTTGGGCCTGATTCGTCGGACCAGCCCTGATTTGGCGGACCAGGGGCTTCGCGGACCCTGAGTAACTCGCCCTTACGGTCTGCGGCCTGGGTTTTGAGTCGACTCAAAAGTCGGACCCTGAGTAGCACGCCCTTACGGTCTGCGGCCTGGGTTTTGAGTCGACTCAAAAGTCGGACCCTGAGTAACACGCCCTTACGGTCTGCGGCCTGGGTACACCCTTCATTCATTCAAGCGCGCCACGTCAGCCCCACGTCAGCATGATCGGCCGCTTACCTATCCGCCGGCCAGCGGTGGCGGGGGCGACAGTGATGATCAGTAAGACTGCTATTAGTCGAAGCGCGTGGGCTGGAAGCGCCGAGCCGCGACGATCCATCGTGTCAGAAGCCGCACTACCTCCCCGAAGAAGTACTGCGCCGCTGTCGCACGAGATGTGCGAGCCTGGCTTACTGGATTTCTGGGCTATGCAGACACGTCAGCACTACTGAGTGAGCGCTGGAGCAAAATGTGTACGGGGAAAAGAATGCGTTCTATGCGGTTGGGGGAGCGCGGGCGGGGAAAGGAATGCGCCGTAACCTAGAGGAAACCTAGAGCGCAATGCGGACGGGGGAAGGAATGCGCGCGGCCCGCAGGTGAGTCGGATTGTCGAGGCGACGTGGACTCGCAAATCAGGACCTGGCGTCCGCCGTCGTGACGAACAGTATATATCGCTTATGCCACATTTACTGACACGTGGCGTCGTTGCGAGGCACGCTACTATGACGGCTCGATCCGCGCAACTTGTGATGGCAATTGCCGAGAGGCAGCCACATACACCAGGCCGAAACTCGAGGGTTTGAGGGGTGGGAGAGAGCGGCAGGGCAGTGAAGACATTCAGGAGAGAGTACTACACGAGACGCTTTTCTGATGGATACGAAGGCAAACCAGCCATGGTTAGAGAAGAGAAGCAGCAGCCTCCGCTGAGTCTGTTGTGGGAGATGTGTTCAATTCAAGTTCGGTTCGCCTGCAACATTTTTTTCCCTGCCCATTCGACTCAAGCCAAACTGTACTACTGTACTTTTTTTATGAATGCGTCTGAACTATAACATGTACTACTGTACTACGGAATAATACTCGCAATTTCATGGACGAAGTGGCATCGATCGATTGCCTACGGAACTGGAAAAGTCGTGAAACAAGCTCACGAACCAGGGGAAGCCTCCCACTCCAAACCGCAGGTTGAAAAGTCCACACCGAAGATTGCGGTGGCGAATGTACGGGAAGTGCGGAAATCGGATTTGCTGCTCAACACTTCTCCTCACAGGTGGTCGATCCGAGCCGCTCAACCTTTCAGGTGAGAAGACATTTCTAGTTGAAGCGGCGCGGCGATTTTTTCCACCTCCAAACAGCCCGAATTATCGTTCATGAAATAACCACAATCATCTCTGACAATGATTAATATTGTCAGAAGGGAAACGCCACTGAGTTTTAAATGCAAGCGGAAGCGGACGGAGACGAGGAGGACAGAGGCGGGCGCGGCTGCCTCGACCCCTGCCTGCTGAACATGGCTAAGAAATCTCGTTTATTCACGCACTTGTTCGCACTTGTCCGCTCACTGCTCGCTCCTTGGTTCGAAACCACATGATATACGTTTTCAGTTACTGAAATATGAGTATTAAGTGTTTAGTCTTCCGTAAAAAATGTTTTAACCTGCCCGCTAAGCACTGATTGTAGATTCATGCAAACTTCAAACCAAGCCAAAGGCTCTCCCCATCGGGTCCCTCAATCAATGACTGCGGCTTCACCTGACGCTAATCGCTCGCAGAACGAACATCGGCGGCTGCTATTTTCGTCGAATTTCTCTCACCTGAGTCCCCCACGTCAAGTGTGTGCGCGGGACACGCCCAGCCCAAACCGAGCTGCTATTCTGCCATACCGCAAAGCTCGCTGCTGTCACTCCCCCTGTTCTGCAGGCCCCACACGGAGCACAGAGCACTACTTATCCGCACCGCGATGTGAAGACTGCTCTGCTGTCACTTATCCGCATGTACTTTCTGACCTCCGGGGAGTCTACAGTACAAAGTACAACACGGCTGGGCTAGAGTGGCAAGGAGTTTCGTACGATTCAGTATTAGGCAGGGAAACGTAGTCGCAGGCAAACCCGTACGAATGTAATTGAGGTTTCTTATCTTCTCGAGGGTACCAGTTCAGATTTCTTGATTTTTGTACACCGATCGAGTTTGCTTCATTGCGTACATTTTTTTCTCGAGTTTTTTCCACGGCTGCTCACCACTTGTAGGCTTCGGTTACGCGGCTCCCTCTCGGCAATTGCCATCACACGTCGCGGGAATCGAGACGCCATAGAAGCGTAAATTGCGCACAAGGCCACAACGAGGCTACGTGTCAGTACAACTGGCGTAAACCAGACATACTAGGTCTTGATTCGAGAGTCCACGTCGCCATTACGTTCCCGACTCACCCGCGGGCCGGGTGCATTCCTTCCCCATCCGCATTGCGCTCCCGCGCCAGGGGATTGCTGACGTGTCTGCGTAGCCCAGGCATCAAGTAAGCCAGGCTCGCGCATCTCGTGCGGGGCGAAGTTGTGCGGCTTGTGACACGATGGATCGTCGCGGTTCGGCGTTTCCAGCCCACGCGCTTCGACTAATAGCAGTCTTACTGATCGTCACTGTCGCCCCCGCCTCCGCTGGCCGGCGGATAGGTAAGCGGCCTATCATGCTTAGGCGTACCACAAGAGCACGCAGCAAAGTGACTATGAGTCAACTCATAAGCGGCCTATCATGCTTACTAGACGTACCGAGAAGTATCGTGCCTACACGAGCACACACCGAGTCGTTCTCCTCTTCAAGCGAACGGAGCGCGCGCATTTTGTCCCCAACAACGCGCAACGCGCTCTTTTCCGCGCCGCGAGGCGCCGTTCATTGGTCACGCACACCACGCCCTAACCCAGGCCTAGCCCACGCCTAGCCCAGGCCTCAGACTGTAAACTGCAACTTTCCGAACGTTGTCTACCCTATGCTGCTTGTTTCATACCACCTCCTCCTCCGCCCCTCAGGCTACTTCCTTCCCCCCACCCCTTTTTTCTTCTTTCCCTTCCCCCGCACCGCGTCCCCCTCCTCGTTACAGACACACTCGATGCAACGACAAACGCGGGCTCTGACACCGCAACCTCTGGCACCGCGAGCTCCGACGACGCGACAGCTGGCGTGGCGGCATCGGATCTCTCGGCGCTGGCGGTGGACGCGAAGACGCGTGCGTTGATTAAAGCCCTCGCGCCGCTGATGGGCGCCGCGGACCTGACGGGCGTCGGCAAGCCGCCCGAACGCGCCTCGTACTTAACTAAAGACGCGTTCGCCGCGGCGGCGCGCAAATGGCTCGCGACGGTGAAGCAGCGCGTGCAGAAGCTGATTCAGCAGGCGGCAGGAGGCGGAGGGAAGGGGCGCGGATCGAGCAAGGGGAACGGCGGACGCGGGAACACCACAACCGTTGGTGAGAGTCGCGCGGGGGCGCAACGATGGGTGGAGTGCGGTGGAATGGGGTAAAGGGCATGGTTCAACGGTTCTCAAGGGTGTGCGGGCAGGGATTGTGACCGTGATTTCTTGCTGGTAAGGTGGTTTGGGAAGGTGATTTTTCACTCGCCTCCCTTTCTCTCTCTTTCCTCATCCCGCTTCCCCCCCACCTCCCCTGCCCCTCCTCTCCCCCCGCAGTCAGACCGCTGCCTAGGCTAGACGCCCTTCACCGCCAAGGACCTCGCCAAGCTGCGTGTGCTTACGCCAATCACTCTTATCTCGCTCCTCTCTCGCTGTGCCTCCCCTCTGCCCACCGCCAGACCGCTGTCTGGGCTACGTCCCCCCCACGACCAAGGATCTCGCCAAGCTGCCCAATCTCAACACCGTCTCAACTCCTCCCCCATTCCCTTTCTCCCTGCGCCTCCCCCAACCCCCCACCGCCAGACCGCAGTCTGGGGTACGTCCCCCCCACGACCAAGGACCTCAATCCCGCCAAGCTGCCCAATCTCAACACCGTCTCGCGCTACCTCACCGTCGGTCTCACGCTCGACCCGACCTCGCAGAAGATCACGTGGGATTTCAAGAAGAGCGTGAGCCACAGCAAGTATTTTCCTGAAGACGATTTCGACCAGGGCAACTGTGGTGCGTGCTGTTGGCTGCCGTTGACCTGCGTTGACTTCTGTTGACACGCGTTGACTTCTGTTGACACATGCTGACTTCTGTTGATTTCTGTTGACTGGCGATGACGGCGTTGACTTCTACCGACCTGCGTTGACTTTTCTTGATCGCCACTGTCTTCTGTTGACTGCCATTGAGTTCTGTTGACCCACCTTGACTTCTGTTGACCTGCAATGACTCTGTTGACCCACGTTGACTTCTGTTGACCTGCAATGACTCTGTTGACCCGCGTTGACTTCTGTTGACCTGTTTTGACTGCTGTCGTAGTGCTGTTGACTTGTGGGCGGCCATTGACTTCATTGGCTTGGGCCCATATGCCATCAAACCCCTCCCAGGAGCCTGCTGGGCGTACGCGGCAGCGCGGGCGGTGCAGGGTGCGTATGCGAAGCTCAAAGAGACGGACGATGATGTGTTCCCCGGCGGGATGAGTCTGTCCGTGCAGCAGCTGGTGGACTGCACTGGCGCTGCTGCCTCGTGCCGGGGGGGGTACCCCGAGGCTGCCCTGCAGTACGCGGCCAAGATCGGGCTGCAGGACGAGGCGGGATATTCCTACACGGGGGCCAGCGGCAAGTGCAGCGTTAACAAGGATACGGTGAGTTGGAGAAAGGGATAGGATGGGTGAAGAGCGGGCTGCAGAATGAGGTGGGCTATGCTTACACTGAGAGTTTTGAGTCGACCCGATATGCATGCCCTGCTACCCAAAATTCGCCTCGGTGCCCGAAAATCGCCTCGGTGCCCGAAATGCACAGCGGTACTCTAAATCTGCGCTGCAGTACACTGCGAAGAACGGGTTGCAGGATGAAGACCAGCAAGTTCCACAGGGGGTCACTACCAATGCCACGCGCCCAATGCTTATCAGAGCCTCCCTCTGTTGGTGGGGCACTGGGATCATTCCCAGCTGAGAGTGGGAGGGCTACAGGTGCGGCCTGGGTAATGGGTGTGCTATCCACCATACAAACATGTCCATTTAACCTAGTCGGTAGCAGGCTGGGCCAACAGTGGTATCAAAGCCAGAAAGGTCTCCAGTTCGAATCCCAGTGTACCCTAATGAGCGATAGTGCCCTAATGAGCCCCAAGGGGAAGATTGATCATGGGGATCGTCCCCACATAAGTGAGGGAGGGCTATAGGTGCGGTCTTAGGGGCCATGGGTGTTGCTACCCACCATACGAACATGCCATTATAACCCAGTAGCTGGGCCAACACCCTCCTCACCCAAATATTCTCTCAATCCCCCACTGCCCCTCACTCCTCTCCACCGCACTCAAGGCTTGTACAACATCAACATGTACGAGCAGGTGCCACTGCCAGGGCCGTTGGGGCTGGTGGCTGGCCAATGCTCCCTCTTCCTTACTGTGTGCTATCTCTCACCTACCACCCCTCACCACCCCTCTCCACCGCTCTCAGGAGAAGTGGAGCATCTCGATGTACGAGCAGGTGCCACTGCCGGGGCCGCTGGGGCTCATTCTCGCGCTGCAGAAGCAGCCCGTCATCGTCACCATCCGCGCCTCTGCGCAGGACTTTATTGACTATGCGGTGAGTGACTTGGGGCACTGCTGCTGATGAGTTGGGCCTCTGCTGCTGATGAGTTGGGCCTCTGTTGCTGCTGTCAAAGACTCTCCCTGCACACATTAACTGTTAGAAATACGTTGTCAACACATTTTTGTACTCTATTTTATATTGTGTAGGTTATCTGTAGGTTGAGTGTAGTTTTGTTATCCCAACCTTATCTGGTTGGGATTCCTTCGTAATCCAACAAATCTGCCAACTCATCATTGGAGATTTGCTTGGATTCCCATCCCATCTATTCCCTTAGCCTCACCCAACCCAACTCTGTTGGTAGGCCTAGTTCGAGCTCCATTTCTGACATTAACGTCCTCACCATCCGCACTTCTGCTCAGGACTTCATCGACTACTCCGTGAGTAACTTGGGGCTCCGCTGTTCCTGCTGCTGCTCCTGCTGCTGCTGCTGCTGATGCTGCCGCCGCCACCGCCGCCGCCACCGCCGCCGCCACCGCCACCGCGGCCGCCGCTGGCGAGACTTCAAGGGATTGATTGATTGATTTTTTTTTTCTTTTCTTTTGGCTTGTCCAGCTCCGCCTGCGAGGGATTGAACCACACTTCCTCCTTCCCACGCACACACCCACCCACCCTCCCTGCCTCACTCCCAAACGATCCTTTCTATTGATGGCCCTCCCTCTCTCCCTCCCTCCCTCCCTCCCTCCCTCCCTCCCTCCCTCCCTCCCTCCCTCCCTCCCTCCCTCCCTCCCTCCCTCCCTCCCTCCCTCCCTCCCTCCCTCCCTCCCTCTGCCCCTCACAGGAGGGCATTTATGAGGGCTGGAACTGCTACAGCCCCGTGGGGGAGGTCGTTGGGGACACACAGGGCAACGGTTTCGGAGCGACAGCCACTGCCACCAACAACACGGGGCTGCTGGACCACGTGATGCTGGCCGTGGGGTACAACTATGTTGTGCCGGGAAGCGCGCAGAATTATTTCATTCTGAAGAACAGCTGGGGGCCAAATTGGGGGGAGAATGGTTACATGAAGATTCGCATGGAGGGTGACGCGTTCGGCACGTGCGGCATGCTGGTGAACCGCGGGCTGTACCCCGTTGTGAATGGTGAGGGATCCATCATTTTCCACTTTGTACCCCCTTGCGCTTGTTTCTTCCTTTAATATATTTGTATATATATAATATACACGACCATTATATATATATATTTTCCCCCCTTATTTTTCTCTTCTTTCTTTCTTCTTTCTTTCTTTCTTTCTTTCTTTCTTTCTTTCTTTCTTTCTTTCTTTCTTTCTTTCATTCATTCTTCCTTGCTTATTCTCCGATGGTGTAATGGATTCCAATCCCTCTTATTACCCTCTCATTTCCCCCTTTCTTTTTTCCTCTTTCTCCCTCCGTCATGCCCTCTCCCATCCCCTACCCCCTCGCCAGCCCACCAGACCACAGACCCCTGTGGCACGTCACCGTGTGGGGGGGGCACGTGTGAGGCGGACGAGAGTGGCAACGGCAAGTACACGTGTCAGTGCTCGGACCTGCTTGTTCCTGCTGTCAACCGCGACGGCACACCCACCTGCACCATCAGTGAGTGGTTCCTCGTCGGATGGGAGATAACTGTTGAGTCGACTCAATACATGTGTCAGTGCACGGCCCTCCTGGTGCCCGCTGTCAACCGCGACGGCACACCCACGTGGGTGAGTGGTGGCATGGGTGATTTCAACCCTTTGGCTCCTGAGGTGTTTGGGGTGCTTCGACCCCTTGGGGTGCTTCATTCGACCCCTTTGGGGTGCTTCATTCGACCCCTTTGGGGTACTTCATTCGACCCCTTGGGGTGGGGTTCTCACAATGCCCCCCTCCTCCCTCTTTCTCCTCTCCCTTACACCCTTCCTTTCCAGTCTGCACAAATCTTCAGTGTGCTACCCACCAACCCCTGCCTCGTCAACCAGTGCATCAACAGCAGCAACCAGCATCTCCTTATCTCATTTTCCCATATCCTTCACTGCTTCCCCCCTCCCTCCCTCTCAGTCGAGATCTGCAGTGTGCTACCCACCAACCCCTGCGTGGTAGGGCAGTGCATCAACAGCGGTGACGGCGGCTACTCGTGCCTCTGCCCGCCCAACTACAAGACGAGTGTGCTCGCCTCCGGCCAGACCACCTGCGTGCCTGGTGAGGCTGAGGGGAATGGGTGGAGAAGGGATGCAGTTGCGGTGGTGGGACCGAGTGAATGAATGAATGAATGAATGAATGAATGAATGAATGAATGAATGAATGAATGAATGAATGAATGAATGAATGAATGAATGAATGAATGAATGAATGAATGAATGAATGAATGAATGAATGAATGAATGAATGAATGAATGAATGAATGAATGAATCAATGAATCAATGAATCAATGAATGAATGAATGAATCAATCAATGAATCAATGAATGAATGAATGTCCGAATGAATGAATGTCCGAATGAATGAATGTCCGAATGAATGAATGTCCAACTCATGCCTCTGCTCACCTCCAACCAGGCGCAAAAGTGACCTTTTTCAAACCTATTTGTTGGGCATCCCAATCGCCCCCCCCGTACCACCCCATTCCACACATCCCATGACAGAGATGTCTGGGAGCAGTGCAGCAGCGGTGCAGGGCACGTACACAGTGCAAGGGGGGGAGACGTGTGGCGCCATCTATGGCTTCATCGGCCTCACCCAGGAGCAGTTCCTCGCACAGAATGAGGTAAGAGTGATTAGAGATATAGGAGCAGTTCCTCCTGCAGAACGATGTGAGTTGAGTGAGAGTGGCAAGATTGATTGGGGCAGTTCCTACAGCAGAATGAGGTAATAGGAGTGAGAGTGGCAAGAGTGATTGGAACAGTTCCTACAGCAGAATGAGGTAATAGGAGTGAGAGTGGCAAGAGTGATTGGAACAGTTCCTACAGCAGAATGAGGTAATAGGAGTGAGAGTGGCAAGAGTGATTGGAACAGTTCCTACAGCAGAATGAGGTGTGGGCAGTGAGATATATGAGAGCAATTTCTACAGCAGAACAAGGTGCGAGATAAGAGCACATGTCTGGGATAAGAGCAGAGGTCTGAGATCAAGAGCAGAGGTCTGGGATAAGAGCAGAGGTCTGGGATAAGAGCAGAGGTCTGGGATAAGAGCAGAGGTCTGGGATAAGAGCAGAGGTCTGGGATAAGAGCACAGGTCTGGGATGAAAGCAGAGGCCTGGGATAAGTGCAGCGGTCTGGGATAAGAGCAGAGAAAATCCTACAGCAGAACGAGGCAAGAGCACTTAGTGGACTTTCCCTATCTCTTTCCCTATCTCTTTCCCTATCTCTTTCCCTGCTCTTTTCTCTCCTACACTTCCATTTGCAACCCCACACCACCAGGGAGTGGACTGCGACAATCTCAAGGCGGGGGCGGTGCTCAACATCTCCATCCCATCCACAACGCAAGTGTGCCGCGTGCGCTACACTGTCACCCAGGTGCGTTACATGTCTCCCAGGTGCGTTACATGTCTCCCAGGTGCGTTACATGTCATCCAGGTGTGTCACAAGTCGCCCAGCTGCATACTTCGTCACTCGCTTTCCTCTATCAAGACCTCCATTCCTCTATCAAGACCTCCATTCCTCTATCAAGACCTCTATTCCTCTATTCACCCAGTTGACCAGTGACATACACACCACCCGTCAACGCTCATTTATCTCCCCTCTTAACTGCTGTCCCATCCTCATTCCCCCCAGGCGAATGCAGCAGCAAGGAGCAGCAAGGAGCAGCAAGGAGCTGCTGCTGATCCCATCGTTGTTTTTGAGACGTCTCAAAAACACCCTCTCTACAAGGAGCTGTGATCCCATCGGTTCCCCCACCTCTTCCCCTGTCCGTCCCTCTCCCCGCTCCCCCCAGGCGGATGCCGCAGCAAGGAGCTGTGATCCCATCGGTCCCCCCTTCCTCGCTCCTCACTCCCCTTCCCCTGTTCGTCCCCGCTCCCCCCAGGCGGATGCCGCAGCAAGGAGCTGTGATCCCATCAACACCCGCTTTGGCATCGACGTCACGACCATCAACCCCAGCCTTGACTGCTCAAGCCTCACACCCAACCAGCAGGTGGGGGGGCCGGTGGGAAGTGGGGCTACTGGTTTAGAGTGGTGCGGAGTGGTTCCATTGGTTCAGCACACGGGGAGAGCAGTGTGAAGTGGGGCGCTGGTGTACCAGGAGGGAGTGGGGTGGAGCGGGGTGCTTAGGGAGTGGGGTGGAGCGGGGTGCTTAGGGAGTGGGGTGGAGCGGGGTGCTTAGGGAGTGGGGTGGAGCGGGGTGCTTAGGGAGTGGGGTGGAGCGGGGTGCTTAGGGAGTGGGGTGGAGCGGGGTGCTTAGGGAGTGGGGTGGAGCGGGGTGCTTAGGGAGTGGGGGAGCAGGCATAGGAGTTTGGGCATCAACTCCCAACCCCAGCCTTGACTGCTCAAGCCTCACGCCCAACCAGCAGGTGATGAGAGCGAGCGGTGCAGAGTGGTTCCACTGGTGTAGCATGGGAGAGTGGAAAGTGTTTGCATCGACAGCACGGGCATCAACGTCAACGACTGGCTCACGTGCTCTCCCCCTCCTATCTGGCCTGGCCTCTCTCATCCTCTCCTCCCATCTCTCCTTCCATCTCCTTCCATCTCCTTCCATCTCCTTCCATCTCCTTCCATCTCCTTCCATCTCAGATTTGATTTCCGGCGGGAGACGCGGTGCCAGGAGCAGCAGACCACATCCTTTGCTCGGATTACCTGACCACAAATCAGTGCTGAACCTGCCGCTGTCGTTCCTTCCCTCTCCTCCTCTTCTCACTCCCCTCCCTCTCTTTCTCCTCCTTACGCAGATCTGCATTCAGGTGGGGGACGCGGTGTCAGGAGCAGCGGACTACAACCTGTGCACCGAGTACCAGCCGGTCATCTTTTGAAGCGCCTCAAAACTCATCTCAGATCTGCATTCAGGTGGGGGACGCGGTGTCAGGAGCAGCGGACTACAATCTCTGCACCGAGTACCAGCCGGTCACCCAGTGGGTCACCTGTCCTCTTCCCCCCTCCGCTCTCTTACACTTTCATCCCCCCCGCTCCTCATCTCAGATCTGCATACAAGTGGGGGACGCGGTGTCAGGAGCAGCGGACTACAACCTGTGCACGGAGTACCAGCCGGTCACGCAGTGGTTCACGTGTGCCAGCGCCGTCGCAAACTACGGCATGACGTGGTTCGACCTCTACCGCCTCAACCCCGGCATCAACTGCGACTCTCTCAGCACGCTCACAGGCTCCGAGGTACCTATGAGCGAAGGTGGTGGCACTATGGAGGGTGGTTAGTCGGGATGGGTTTCAACATGTAGGTTCTTCTTTTTTCTCAATCCCGGCTCCGAGCTGCCAACAACATGGCGGTGGGGGCTGGCTTAAGGGAATGGGGTCAATTGGAGGGGTGCTACGCTAAAGGCGGGTGGCGCCAGGGGAACTGTGACTCCCTCAGCACCCTCACAGGCTCCGAAGCACCTATTCCTAAGGGGGGTGGGGCTAAGTGGGGGAGGTGCGATGGAGGGCGGCTTGAGGAATTGGGTTTCAACGAGCGGGTTCCTTCCAACTTCTAAAAAACAACTAGTTTCAACTAGTAGGCGTGTCTTTGCTCCACTTCTGAATCGACTCAAAAACTGTGGGGCGTGTCGTGGCTCCACCTCTACCGCCTCAACCCCAGCATCAAGTGCGACACGCTCACCTCTCTCGCCCCTTCTGAGGTACCTATGAGGGGGGTGGCGCTAAGGGGGTGTCTCTGAGTGTTCACTAGCTCAGAGGTGGTATCAGAGTCAAAGGTCTCGGGTTCGAATCCCAGTGTGCGTTGAGTGAGCACGGTGCTCTAACGAGCCCTAAACAAGAGGGGAATCACCCTAGTAAAGGGTAAATTGTTGGTGAGGCATTGGGGTCGTTCTTCAGTTCAGTTCGGAAGGACTACAGGTGTGTATGGGTAGGTTTATGGGTGTGCTACCCAGAATACAAACATGTCATTTTAACCCAGTCGGCAACAGGTCAAACCAACAACACCTAGGGGGTTGGCTTTAGTAGTGTGGTGTTAGCAAAGTGGCATTGGAACCAAAAGGCAAATTCGCCTTCTGATGCACCTCGCTCAAGTCTTGCGCTATCTTTCCCTCCCTCCCTCCCTCCCTCCCTCCCTCCCTCCCTCCCTCCCTCCCTCCCTCCCTCGCTCCCTCTCTCCCTCCCTCCCTCGCTCCCTCCCTCCCTCCCTCCCTCCCTCCCTCCCTCCCTCCCTCCCACCCTCCCTCCCTCCCTCCCTCCCTCCCTCCCTCCCTCCCTCCCTCCCTCCCTCCCTCCCTCCCTCCCTCCCTCCCTCGTTCCCTCCCGACCTCCCGACCTCCCTCCCTCCTCCCTCTCCAACCCACCAGATATGCGTCGCCGGCACACCGTTGGGAGCGGTGGCGTGCGGTAAGGCGCGGTCGAAGACGGTGGCGAACCGGCGGTACACGGTGGGGGCGGGGGACAGCTGTTCGTCGCTGGTGGTGGTGCAATTCCAGCGCCAGCCGCCACTCGTGGGCGAACTCAACCGCGGCTGGATGTGCCGCTCCCAAAGCCTCTTTGCTGGCATGCCCCTCTGTATCCCCTCTTAGACCCAGCGGAATGGTGTGGCCTGTCGCTATGGACATTGACTTTTGCACTGCCTTTGAGTTTCATTTTGTGACGAGCATCTGCAGTTGAAGTGTGATGTATCATATGTAAGCAAATTTGATATGATCTGTTAATCAAATGCTACCGGATAAGTCATAACCATAAGTAATAGTGGCGAAAAAAATATCAAAATACGAGCTAGAACTTACTAGGTTTAAGAGCCATAATTGTGAGTAGGAATGATAGAAGCGGGGGATCGTGAGAAAAGAGAAGACAATGTCACTATAGAAGCAAGTACAAGATATAGGAAAAGAAAGACGACAAGAGGGGTACAAGATCAAGAGAGAGACAATAAACATAATCCAGCTATGTGTTAGAATCAAGCAGCAGGAATGTGGCATTGAAGAGAGATGTGGGTACATATGCTAACCCTAATTTGGGTTGTACCCCTTATGGGCTACCCCACTACAGCCTAAACAGCACAAGCATGATTATAGTTTGACACACCCCCATAGGCAAAGTGGGGGAGAGCAAGGGGTCATAAGACCAGTCAAGAGAAGCAAAGCAAGCTCAGGGTGGGTCACAACGTCACCACACACACTGAGCACAAGCAAAGGGCCACAAGGCCAGTTCACATGCAGATGTATATATGCAACAACAGCATCACAGTGATCTCTACCTAGCAAAGCAAGCAAGCAGGTATAGATATATAGATCACAGTACAAGCAGAGTCTACAGCAAGTGAGGAAACGTGGGCACAAGGCCCAGCAAGGTACAAAAGCGCTGATGATCACCAGGCGAAAGTGCCTTGGTGAATATATCAGCAGTGTTGGCCCGAGTGGCCACGTAACGCAGGCGAAGCTGACCACGCTGCTGCAACTCTCGAGCCAGGAAGTAACGCAGAGCGATGTGCTTCGTTCTGTGCTCCAGTCTGTGCTCCTCACACAAGGCAATGGCAGCCTTGTTGTCGACGTACAGCACTGGAGGAGAACGAGGCCGCTCTCCCAAGTCGGTCAGCAGGTAGGTGAGCCAGCGTAACTCCTGTGCAGCCATGGCTGTGGCGTAGATCTCAGCCTCACAACTGGAGCTGAGAACTGAAGACGAGCGTGTAGAACGCCAAGAAACTGAACCAGAGCCAAGGCTGAAGGTGTAACCCTGTGACGACCGCTGAGTAGCCTGGTCGTCAACCCAAGAAGCGTCAGAGTGCCCAGTGAGGACAACTGGGCTCTTCCCTCCAAGCACTAGCCCCATGCCTGATGTGCTGCACAAGTAGCGCAGTACCCTCTTAGCGGCAGCCATGTGCTCAGGTCGGTGCCGACCAGGAGCCACGTAGCGAGCCAGCAGACCAAGAGGGTACGCGAGGTCAGGACGAGTGCAAGTCATCAGGTACATGAGGCAGCCAACTAGCTCTGGGTAAGGACCACTCGGCTCTACGGACTCGTCCGAAGGTGGAGCTGAGAGCGAGTGACCTGTAGCCAGAGGAGTGGCCTGTGCCGAGGACCAGGTGAAGCCGAAGCGCTGAAGGACCTGCTGCACCATGTGTGACTGAGTCAGGGTGATGGTGCGGCGTGCTCTGTCCCGGGTGATCCGCAAGCCAAGATAGATTGTCAGCTCACCCAGGTCTGTGCACGTGTGTCTCTTCTGCAGCTCCGACTTCACGTGGACAAGAGCCTCAGTGTCAGCAGTGGCAAAGACCAAGTCATCGACGTACACGAGGATGTAGAACGGCGGCCGTGAAGTGTCGGTGCGCAGAAACAGCGACGGGTCAGCAGTAGAGGGCACGAACCCAAGAGCCGCAAGTGTAGTCCTCAGTGTGTCATGCCACTCACGTGGCGCCTGGCGGAGACCGTAGACTGGCCGCCGGAGGCTCCACTGGGTACCAGGAGGAAACGACCCAGTGAAGCCAGGAGGGCGGCGCAACCAGATCTCCTCGTGCAGACTGCCCTGCAAGAAAGCTGTGCTGAAGTCAAGAGAGTGAAGCTCGTAGTCACGCTGAGCGGCAACGTGCAGCAGCACCCGAAGAGTGGTCATCTTCGGGGTAGGGGAGAAGGTCTGGAAGAAGTCAAGTCCCTCTCACTGACTGAAGCCTCGAGCAACGTAACGAGCCTTGAAGACAGGCGGAGAACCTGGCGGCCGCTTCACCCTGAAAATCCACATGCCACTGACGATGTTCGCCCCGGGAGGGAGAACCTCGTCGACGTAGGTGCCTGTGGACTTCCAGGATGCCATCTCTGCATCCATGGCTGTGTGCCACTGAGAAGAGTACTCACCCGCGATCGCCTCAGCGTAAGAGCGCGGGGTCGGGATGTCTGGAGCATCCGGGTCTCCCTCAAGGGCAAGCAGCATGGACACGAGATGAGGTACAGCAGCGGCAAAGCACTCAAACTCCTCCTGCCTGTCCTCAAGGACGTCCGTGCTAAGAGCACACTCACCCCCGACGGACGGAGGACAGACAGACTCAGACTCAGCAACAAGACTAGCGGCGTAGTCTAGACGACAGGCAGCAGCAAAGTCAACTAGCTCAGCTACCAAGGCAGACGCAGCAGCAGACTCGAACGACGGGTCAGTGACAACAGTGGCTAGCAGACGCGTGACAGTAGAGTGAGCAGCACGGGTGCGGTCAGACTCGGGCTCAGGGACGGTAGGTAGAGAAGACGCAGGAGGGGAAGGCAGGGGAACACGCTGCGGAGGAGAGGAAGGACGACGGACGAGAAGACGGGTGCCGGGGACAGCCGGCTGACGCGAACGAGGGACACTACGACCGGAACGACCAGACTGAACAGGCGAAACAGGACGCGACGCAGGCTCACGACGCTTAGTAAGACCCCCTGACTGCTCAGTGTAAGGAGAAGGAGCAGGCAGCGGTGAGCCAGGCTGTAACGGAAGACCAGTAGACGAAGGGAGACTAAGAACCTGGCGAAGCACAGAGCCAGGCGGTGGCTGAGACGACGAAGACGGTGGAGCGAAGAACAGGCGCGGCTGTGCAGGGCTACCAGCACCAGCAGCTCCAGCACCCTCAGCAGCTCCAGCACCTCCAGTAACTCCAGAACCCGCAGTGCCAGCTCCTCCAGGACCAGCTCCACCAGCAGTAGCACCCCCAGAACCAGCACCTCCAGTCCCAGGGTCTCCAGCCTCAGTGTCTCCAGCAGCAGCACCCCCAGCTCCAGAACCTCCAGCTCCAGGGCCACCTGCGCCAGCACCTCCAGCAGCTCCAGAACCCTCAGCGCCAGCTCCTCCAGGACCAGCTCCACCAACAGCAGCACCCCCAGAACTGGCACCTCCAGTCCCAGGGTCTCCAGCCTCAGTGCCTCCTGCAGCAGCACCCTCAGACTCAGCACCTCCAGCCCCAGCAGCTCCAGTACCTCCAGTACGAGCACCTCCGAGACCAGCACCACTCCCAGCTCCAGTGACGACAGCAGAAGTACCTCCAGCGGCAGAGCCCCGAGCTCCAGAAGCGCCACCCTGACGGCGACCGTACCAGTCGTGCAGCTGCTGCGAGGTGAGAGGCACACGCGGACGAAGGCGGCCACTCCAAGGAAGCCGCGCAACAGCAGACTCAGAACCCGCAGCGCCAGCACCCTCAGCAGCTCCAGAACCTCCAGCCCCAGCACCACCAGCGCCAGTACCTCCAGCAGCTCCAGACCCTCCAGTAGAAACAACTCCAGTGGCAGAGTCACCAGCTCCAGCGCCTCCCGCAGCAGGGCCCCTAGCTCCAGCAGTGCGACCCTGACGGCCAGCGTACCACTCAAACAGCTGCTGTGGGGAGAGAGGGAGTCGACGACGAGAGTGCAGCGGCGAGGCACCAGCGGAGCGACTACAGAGACGGCCGCTCCCGGGAGACTGCTCACCAGACGCCTCAGCGCCCCCAGGCTCAGCACCTCCAGTCTCCGCACCCCCAGGCTCCGCACCCCCAGGCTCAGCACCCCCAGGCTCCGCACCCCCAGGCTCAGCACCACCCTCAGCAGCACCTGAGTCACCAGTGACCTCAACCTGAGGGGGAGGGTCTACCTGAGACACACCTGAAGGAGCAGGACCGGGAGCGGGGAGGGGGTCTACCTGGGTAGCACCTGGAGCGAGGAAGAGCGGCGGGGGAGGGAGAGGGGCAGTGTGGTAGGGGAAGAGACGGTAAAAGGGAACCGACTTGTCGAACGTGACGTCCTGAGAGGGGAAGACACGGCGCGAGGTGGGGTGGTAGAACTGCCAACCAGGCGCGTCAGGGACAAAGCCAAGGAAGACACAGGGAACAGCGCGGGCGGAGAGCTTGTCCGCGGTGGTATCGCGGACAAAGGCACGAGAACCCCAGACCCGGAAACGCGACGCATCGCCAACCTTCCCCGTCCACAGCAGTGTGGGCGAGGTCTCCGGCAAGGAGACACGGGGCCAGAGGTTGAGCTGATGCGCGGCGTACCGGACCGCAAACGGCCACAGAAAATGGGGGGCCGCCGCATGGACCATGGAGGTACGAGCGACCTCCATGACCAAGCCAATGCGGCGCTCAGCAACCCCATTCTGCTGCGGAGAGGCCGGAAGCGTGAACGACTGGGTGATGCCGTGCTCCTCACAGAAGGCTGCCAAGAGGTCGGAGGAAAACTCACCACCTCTGTCAGAGTGCAGACGAAGAACGGGAAAATCCGTCCCGAACCGCTCGCGGAGCTGGAGACGAGCAGCGCGGATCCAGGGGATCAAAACACCAGGGACCTCACCCTTGGTGCGCAAGGGGAAGACCGTGGTGTAACGCGTGTAGTCGTCGACGACCAGCAGGAAGTACCGCTCGTGGCCCTGTCCACGGACGCGGGCTGGGCCCCACACGTCCAGGTGGAGAGTCTGCAGGGGAGCCTCTGTGGGAGGGAACGAGGAGGAGTGAGGAGCGGCGCGCTGCCGCCCCTCGACACAGTGCTTCTTGGGCTGACGACCAGGCTACGCAGCGGTCGTCACAGGGTTACACCTTCAGCCTTGGTTCCGGCTCTGTTTCGTGGCGGTCCACCCGCTCGTCTTCTGTTCT